GTTCATTTTTCGTTAAGTCCACATACATGGGTTTTCTCAACCAGGTCTTCATCAAGTACTTCGGACATGCCCAGCCTACAGTGAGTAGCCCTTTATAGAAAAAGGGCAAGAAGGGAAAGCAAGGCCAGGAGGGGCAGCAATGGAAAAAGCTGGCTCTGCGAGGGCCTCTGGCTTTGAAGGACCAAAGCAGCAGTGACCCCGAGGGCAGGGGTGATAGCCAAGAAAGGGGAGGGACTCGTGGAGAATGACGGCTCTTGCAATGCACCTCCGAGTATATTCATGGTACAAAAGTATTTAATAAGTGCCACGCATCAGTACAGAAAGAGTCTACAGCTCACACTTTAAGACCAGAACAGCCAACCGAAGTTTATAAGTATAGTCTTATTTTTACTTAAAAAAAAGAAAAAAAAAATATATGGAAGGTACACATTGAGAATTGAAATACTATGTCTTGTCTTTCCAGAGATGTGACATCCATGTTTTCTGGTGATTTCTATGAAACACTGCTAAATCAAGGCATACATATGACTAGTGAAGCTGTTTGTGCCCTCCTCATGCTGAGCCAACCCAGCGGAACACCACCTTGGTAGGGAGATCTGGACAGGAAGGAACTGCAGAGGCCCTACTCCAACAGAAAACCTAACAAACTGATTTACACAGAAGGGTAAAGTTTTAGCAAACCTGTACGAACACTTAACATGCTGTAAGAAAGGGAGACCTTTTAGCCTACTTCCAGCATAAGCACACACTCACTGGTGCCCAGTAAACTAGGTGCACCAACGTAGAAAGCATCTTTGCTTTCATAGCACTAATAGCTAAAAAGCACACAGTATATAATACTTTGATCTTTAAGTGGGTAATCATGGAAGCTCCAAGATTATAGCCACTAGGTTAGCCTGAGTATTCATCTATAAAAATAGTTATCTATAAATGCTTAAAAGAATTCTAGAAACAGACTACATCAGGACCAGCAGAAGACAGAGTGATGCAGGGACTGCCGACTGTAAGACAAGGAAGTGATTTTCACAGGTAGCTTCAGGTAAGGGGCATCTCTGTCATTCCTACAGCCAGGACCAGCTGGGATGGGAGCTGCTGCAGAGGGCAGCTGTCTCAAGGAACAGCCTAGAGAAATGTTCCCACATGGGTAGAAACCCCTCTGAGGCTGCAGGACTGAAACTGATACATACAGGAAGCTGTTAGCACACAAAAAGCCTGATGGACAGGCGGGGCCAAAGAGGGGTGGAGCTGGTGGGTTCTTCCAAATGCTGCTGACCTACCAACGTTTATGCTGGGGATGGGGTCCCCGGGGGGATGCTGGCCTCAGGCTTGCTCCAGAGGAGCCTGACTCAGGCCTGAGAGAGGGGTCTACTTGGGGAGGAGTGCTAGGATTACTGAACACAAGGTGCTTCAGGGGCCTAGGAGGGTCAGATGGACTGTCTTCTGACCCATCAATACTTAACGTCAGCAAAGAGTTGTGGAACAGAGCCCGTCTTTCCAAGATGTATTCTGTCACATAGCCAAAGCCTCTTCCAGTCTATGGGGCTGGCGACGTCCAGGAAGATATCTCTGCCTGGTGGCAGGGCCTAGTGTCGCAGATCATTCTGGGAAGCTGGCACAGGGGATGATTTACACAATGAAGTCACCACTAAACCACTGCTTAAATCCAGTCCCCGGCCTTCTTTTTCCTGCATGAGAAAAAGAATACCAAGCGGCAAGGAAGAGGGAAAAAACACGAGTCCTTTCCTAGCTCCAAACCCTGCCTGTGGCACAGGGGGAGGGAGGGTGGAAGGGGGTTATTTTGCATTCTTGTTCAGCACTGGCCCGGTCACTCATAAAAAGTATACCTCTCTTCACTGAAAAATACCTCTTTTTCCTATTAAGAGTCTGCCTTATAAGAAAGGCAAGGCAGTTAGACCTGCTTTTTGGTTTTGTCCCTCTGATTATTTAGGGATTACTTTAAGAGGAACCTGGGTCCTGCCCAGAAGGCAGCTGCTCACTCTGGACACCTTGCTAGCTGCCAGACTGATATTGGCCAGTCATGGGGAGAAACGTGGCAGCTGGTCTACTAGGAACTATCTGGAACTATCTCAATGGTTCCATGTGGCTAATGACACAAGCAAGAGGGACTTACTGCTCTGTAGTCCAGAAACATTTCCTTAAAAGCCAGAAAATCTGTGAACGTGAGCAGCATGTCAAATATGTCACCAGCCACTTCATCTTTATGATGCCTGCAAAAGAAAAGGATGGCTGTTTCATGGAAGACTGAAACAGATTCTGTCCCTTCAAGATTCCATTTGCAGATTTTAAGGGCCTTCCCACCCAGGACCTAACCGCCAAGGGCTGTAAACCTTCATGATCAAGCAATGAAAAAAAAAGGTCTTTTTTCAGAGTAAAGGAGAAAGGGAAAACAGGCAAAAATGCAGAGTCAAGTTCAACTCACTGCAACGTTGTCGTGAAAGCTACCATGTTAAATCCAGGAATCCGTTCCAGGAGCTGTTCTTCAATATACTTTTCTACCAAAGAAATCTGTAAGAGTAGACAGGATCTTGGTTTTAGGAAAACAAGGCA